TAGTTTCTAGGATACGATGTGCAGGCTATGAACGGGACGCGTCTGGGCCACAGCAGGTACGTAGCCTAATTTTTAGGCACTTCTAGGAAGTTCTTGGGCACGGCGTGTAGGCCAAGTTCGAGATGCGTCCTGGCTGCGATAGGGATGCGTGGCTTTTCGTGGCATGATGTGCAGGCCATATCCGGGACATGTCCTAATCGCTGAAGGGACGTAGTCTAATTATTAAGCATTTCTTGGCAATTTGTGGGACTCGGTGTGCAGGCCATGTTTGGGACGCATCATGGCCACAGCAGGGACGGAGCCTGATTTTCAAGCAATTTTGGGCAGTTTCTGGGACACGATGTGCAGGCCATGTCCAGGATACGGTAAGGACGCATCCTGACTTTTAGGTATTTTTAGGTAGTTTCTAGTACACGGTGTGCAGGCAATGTCCGGGACGCATCTAGACCGCGACAGGGATTCAACCTAGTTTTTGGGCATTTCTAGACATTTTCTGGGACACAGTGTGCAGGCCAACCTAATTTCCACGTATTTCTCGATAATTTCTTGGACAGGGTGTGCAGGCAATGTCTGGGATATGTTGGGGCTACTGCAGGGATGCAGCATGATTTCTAGGCAGTTTCTGGGACATGGTGTGATGCCATGTCCAGGACGAAGTAGGGACGCAGCCAAATTTTCAGGCATTTTAAGGCAGTTTCTAGGATATGGTGCGCAGGCCATGACCAGGACGCGTCTGGGCCACGATAGGGACGTCGCTTGATTTTCAGGCATGTGTGGGAAGTTTTTGGGCACGGTGTGCAGGCACGTCCGGGACGCATCTTGACCGCGGTAGGGATACAACATGATTTTCAGGCATTTGTAGACAGTTTGTGGGCACGATGTGCATGCCATATTCGGGACACGTCCTGGCCTCGAGAAGGGCACAGCCTTATTTTTAGGCATTTCTTAGCAATTTCTAGGACTCGGTGTGCAGGCCATGTCCGGTACGCGTCGAGGCGTGGCAGGGACAGAGCCTGATTTTCAGGGACTTCTGGGCAGTTTCTAGGACACGGTGTGCAGGCCATGTCCAGGATGCAACAGGGACGCATCCTGACTTTAACGTATTTTTAGGCAGTTTCTAGAGCACAATGTGCAGGCAATGTTTGGGATGCTTCTGGCCGCGCTAGGGAGACAACCTAATTTTTAGGCATTTGTAGGTAGTTTGTGGGCATGGTGTACAAGCCATGTCCGAGACGCATCCAGGCCGCGGCTGGGACGCCGCCTAATTTTCAGGCATTTCTTGGGAATTTCTGGGACTCGGTGTGCAGGCCATGTCCGGGACGTATCATGGCCAAGGTAGGGATGAAGCCTGATTTTTAGGCAATTTTGGGCAGTTTCATGGACACGGTGTGCAAGCTATGTCCAGGATGCGGCAGGGACGAATCCAGACTTTCTGGTATTTTTAGGCGATTTCTGGAACACAATGTGCAAGCAATGTTCGGGACGCGTCTGGTCCGCGACAGGGATGTAGCCTGGTTTTCAGGCAGTTTTCGGGACACGGCGTACATGCCATGTCCAGGATGCTGCCGGGACACATCCTAATTTTAACGTTTTTCTATGTTATTTCTTGGACACGGTAAGGATGCAGCCTAATTTTCAGGCATTTCTAGGTAGTTTTCGAGACATGGTGCGCAGGTGATGTCCAGGATGCAACCTGATTTTTAGGCATTTCTCGTCAATTTCTGGGTCACGGTGTGTAGGTCATGTCAGGAACACGTTCGGGCCATGGTAGGGACTAAGACTAATTTTCAGGTAATTTCGGGCAGTTTTTGGGCACAGTGTACAAACTATGTTCGGGACGCGTCCTGGCCAGGCAGGGACACAGCCTAATTTTCAAACATTTCTAGGCAGTTTGTGGGCACAGTGTGGAGGCCAAGTTCGGGACGTATCCTGGCTGCGGCAGAGACGCGACCTGATTTTTAGGCATTTGTAGGTAATTTTTGGGTCTTAGGGTTTTTATAAATCAATTTAGAATTAAAACCAGGAAATATATACGTGACAAAGAATAATGAAAAAAAATGTAGCTCAATGTTAGAACCTATGTATAATAAAACTAGTCTACACAACAAAACCAAACTTCCCACCGTTGCAGTGCCACAGATAAACCCCTCCGTCGCCTTCAAACCAGTACCACCGTTGGTCGGGGCTGGCGCCGGTGCATGGTAGTGGTGATGGTGATGATGAGGAGAAGGTGCTTGGGTTGTAGATTGGTGGCCAAAGCCATGTTTATAGGATAGAACCATAGCCTCTACCTTTTGACCCTTCTGGTAATGTTCTTCAGCTCCACTATTGAAGAAAAATCGACCTGATTTTTCCAGTGAAATTGTAGTTTCTCCATCATGGTGTTATTTTATTGGATTGGCGTTGTTGCAGATTTTGTAGTCTTCCTTGGTCACTTCCAACATTGAATCAATCTTGGAATCATACTTCAGAACCAAAGAATCGCCGATCTGAAAACGTGTTTTCTCAGCCCATTTGTTGAACTCGTCAACAGAAGATGGAACTGCACATAAATTATTTTCACCAGCTACTATGAACTCTCTTGCTTCGGAAAGAACACACAACAAAAGCACGACGTCGAAATATAATAAAGTATTTTTGAGTGAAGCTATTTTAAGCAAAAAATCAACAGATTTTCAAATAAAATTTGAGTAATTTTGTAGACAATAGAATAGAATGGTTTAGGGTTTAGGGTTCCGAGTGCAGGTTTAGGTTTCAGGGTCCAGGGCTTAGGTTTACGGTTTAGGGCTTAGGGTTTAGAGTTTAGGGCTTAGATTTATTTTTTTAACCAAATACCACTAGTGTGGTTTATTTTATATAATGAAAAGCAAGAATACAGCTAAAGGAGGGGGGCATAGACGTGACCTCCAGCAAATGTAAATTGTAACAAATATCTCAAGATAAAATGCAAACACAACAAACAAGACTTGAACAAAAAACTAGTGAAAGCTACTTAAGGGTATTCTTGAGGGTAAATCTTTGGGTGGTAGTACATAGACATCGATCGGGCCTGAAACATTTTTGAATCATAGTAGTCTGCATTGTCTAGCTCGCTCGTTGGAGTGGGGTCTCGCCTGCGTGAAGGAGCCTGCTTTGGTGAAAAGTACTATTAAGATGGTGGTGCACTGAATGTCGGGTGAAAAGCGGGTGCGTCTAATCTCATGGTACTAGTCGCAGGTGTGTCTAATCTCATGATGCTCTACGCTCAACATCAGAATCATGGGACCTACTGACTATAGGGACATCGTCCTCTGCATTTTGCACGCAGTCCCCAAGGTCCATGCCATCTATGTCTTTTTGTATATGTTCTTTAACCTTATTTTGTGTAGGAGCTATTATAGAAGGATTGGGTGAAGATGGTTTGAGACTTTGCTGATTGAGTACCATTTGTGTGTGTCTTCAATGGTGGATAACTGATATGTGTTAGCTCTAGGGGTACATCAGTAGTAGCTGTAGGAATAGGAGCTATGGAAGTAATAATAGGAGAAGTGGGCACCTCGATAGGAGCATTTGGAGTAGGCTCAGTAATTGAATGAATATATGGAGGTGCCTCTAGATCAACTGTGATAGGAGTAGATGTAGGAACTGTTGGTACAGATACTGACTCTGTCACAATTGCGATAGCAGTAGTGGGAAGCACAGAAGGCACTGCTAAAACTAGCACCCACTGTTTCTTTGGCTCCACAAATGTCACCTCATCTTTATCCTTGTCAGCCCTAGTAATAGGGGGCTAAACAGGGAGATGCACAACAACTGTAGGGAGAAGAGGAGGAACAGTAGTACACTAATCATAAGAATGGCCCAAGTGTTTATAATGGAAGCAAAAAAATGGCCGCTTCTAATAAATAACTATCAGCCAAAAGCCACGGTTACCGGCGCGCTCAATCGAAACACTCTCAGTTAAGTTATGCCTCAAATTCACCTCAATACACACCCTTGCCTCACTAGAGCGTCTTAAGTCAAAGGTGGCCTCATCAAGGTTTAGGGTTTAGCGTTTTTCTTTTATTTATTTATTTTTTTTTTAGTAAAGACATCCACACATCCTTAATGACTTTTTAGGGTCCACTAAGGAAGGTCGATGGGGTTTAAGGGTTTCCCAATCGTATTTATTTCATAAAAATCAAGAGTACAATGAAGGAGGGGGCATAAACGTGACCTCCAAAAAGCAAAAGTGCAACAACCGAAAAATTAAAAATGAACAAAGTAAATGAGGAAGTACTACTTCCTTTTACAAGAAAAATGCAATAATGATAGCCTAAACTACAAACCTCTAAAGTTGGGCAATCCATGTCTGTCGATCTGCACCAATGCCCTAATCTGTTGAGGCAGGTCGAGTTTTAGGGCTTACGGTTTATGGTATAGGGTTTAGGGTATTTTTTGCCTGAATTGCCTTTCAATAAGTTCTAACGAAGCAGTAGAATTCAGTTTTACAGATATTTGTAAAGTCATAGAGTGTTTAACTAAGCTAAAACACAGTAATTATAGGATAATAATTATTAACTAGATTAGAAGAAGCCATTGTATGGACTTAATTGAGGAGGAAGCTGAGAAGATGAGACTACATCCATCAAATCCGTGTCCATTGTGCTTCCAAAGGTTGTACCTTGATCAATTGTTGGCAGATTTATTGTTGAATTTACGTTTCCAGCATTGCCTCCATCCCATTGATATGAAAAGTACAACTCATTAGGTTAAATCTGTGAAGCTTCAGTCTCCACGCTTCGAAAGTTAGAATTAAATTCCATGATTAAATCTGAATTCTCAGAAGGGAAAAATTTATTTCCCATAGGGTTTGGAGCGAAACGGAATAAGTCATTTTCCACATATTCTACAGCAGGCAGTTGAGAATCAGTTGTTTGTAAAATCTCCAGGTAAGTGAAGAAGATGGTGGGATGATTATAATTTTCATCAATGTTGAGGCTATAAGTATTCTTAGATGTCCCTTCAGTTGGATTCATTGGTCAACGATGATCGACTGGAATTGAAACGATGGACTGATTGTTTTCAAATAGGGTTTTCATGAAATCCATTTCGTCATTGCATGATTCAAAACCGAAAAAGGGTGTAGAGTCATAATCATCAGAGAGTGGTGTGCCAGCATTGGACAGATTTGCTGCAGTGGTGGTGGCGCCGAAATTAGAGTTAGTAGAGGTGGAACCATTACCGAAATACTTTTTTATGATGTAATCTTGTAATAGTGTTGACTGTCTTCTATCTCCTTTTACTTTCTTTCTCTTTCTCCTTGAAATCTGCCTCCTTTTTGTGGCAATCCAGTGATTCTTTATTGAATTTTTAGTTCTTCCAGGAATGTACTTAGCTATCTCCACCCATCGATTTCCAAGTCTTTCATGTGCTTGAATTAACCGTCTCTCTTCATCTTCAGTACAAGCGTCCTTGATATGAGCAAGCAGATGATTATTCCATCGCTCGCGACACTATTTTCCCACTCTACCAACCATTTCTTCAGCTATTACAGCCCATTTCCTCAATCCAAATTGATGTACAAAGCTAATTAGTCTTCTGTCTTCTTCGCCTATCCACTGGCCTTTTATCTAATATCCGGAAGAAGAACTACCATCTCTCTTTTCCTTCCGATCAGGATTGACTGGTGCAGCTATCACATTTATTGAAAGATTTTCACTCGAAGTCATTTTCTACATATTCTACAGCAGGCAATTGAGAATCAGTTGTCTGTAAAATCTCCGTGGAAGTGAAGAAAATGGTGGGATGATTATAATTTTCATCAACGTTGAAGCTATAAGTATTCTCAGATGTCCCTTCAACTGGATTCATTGGTTGACAATGATTGACTGGAATTGAATTGATGGGCTGATTGTTTTCAAATAGGGTTTTCATGAAATCCATTTCGTTATTGAATGATTCGAAACCGAAAAATGGTGTAGAGTCTTCATCATCAGAGAGTGGTGTACCGGCGTTCGACGGATTTGCTGCAGTGGTGGTGGTGCCAAAATCTGAGTTAGTGGAGGCGAAACCATTACTGAAATACTTTTTTATGATGCAATCTTATAGTAACGTTGAATGTCTTCTATCTCCTTTTACTTTCTTTATCTTTCTCCTTCAAATCTACCTCCTTTTTGTCGCATTCCAGTGATTCTTTGTTGAATTTTCAGTTCTTCCAGGAATGTACTTAGCTATCGCTGCTCGTTGATTTCCAAGTCTTTCATGTGCTTGAATTAACCATCTCTCTTCATCTTCAGTCCAAACGTCTTTCTTAATATGAGGACGCGGATGATTATTCCATTGCTTGCGACATTGTTTTCCTACTCTACCAACCATTTCTTCAGCTATTACAACCCATTTCCTCAATCCAAATTGATGTACTATGCTAATCAGTCTCCTATCTTCTTCGCCTACCCACTAGCCTTTTATCTGATATTCGGAAGAAGAATCATTCTCTCTTCTCCTTCCGATCAGGATTGACTGATGCAAGTATCGCATTTACTGAAACATTTTCACCTGAAGTTTGTTTTTCATGTTAAAGTCCTTCCATGAAGCTTGGCTCTTCGGTGGTGTAATTACTGGTTGTGCCATTTGAAGAAAAATTCTGAAACTGATTTACTTCATTAGAAGGAAAATAGTTTAGGGTTTAGGGTCTAAGGTTCAGGTTGTTTTTTTTTTTTTTTTTTTTAGAAAAGAAATCCACACATCCTTAGTAACTTTTTAGGGTCCACCAAGGAAGGTCGATGGGGGTTAAGGGTTCTCCAACCATATTTATTTCATAAAAATCAAGAATACACGGAAGGAGGGGGGCATGAACCTGACCTCCAAAAAGTAGCGATGCAACAACTGAATATAATAAAATGAAAGTAATAAATGAGGAAGTACTACTTCCCTATACAATAAAAACAGTTTAATAATCATAGGGTTTAGGGTCCAGGGTTCAGGGTTTAGGGTTCCGGGTTCAAGATCCAGGGTCCAGGGTTTAGGGCTCAGGGTCTAGGGCTTAGGACTTGGGATTAGGACTTAGGGCTTAGGGCTTACAGTTTAGGGCTTGGGGTTTAGGGTTTCTGGGACAGGGTGTGCAGGACATGTCCAGGCCACAGCCTTATTTTCAGGGGTTTAGGGTTTCTAGGTCACGATGTGCAGGTCATGTCCGGGACACGTTCGAGCAACGACAAAGAATAATGAAAATAAAATGTAGCTCAATGCTACAACCCATAAATAATAAAACTAGTATACACAACAAAACCAAACTTCCCACCGCCCAATGCCACAAACAAACCGCTCCGCTACCTTCAGACCAGTACCACCGTTAGTCGAGGCTTGCGCTGGTGCATGGTAGTGGTGATGGTGATAATGAGGAGAAGGTGCTTGCACTGTAGATTGGTGGCCGGAGCCATGTTTATCGGACAGAACCATAACCTCTAGCTTTTGACCCTTCTGGCAATGTTCTTCAGCTCCACTGATGATGAAAAATGGACCTTATTTTTCTAGTGAAATTGTAGTTTCCCCATCGTGGAGTTATTTTATTAGATTGGCGTTGTTGTAGATTTTGTAGTCTTCCTCAGTCACTTCCAGCACTAAATCAGCCTTGGAATCATACTTCGGAACTAAACAATCCCCAATCTGAAAATGAGTTTTCTCAGCCCATTTGTTGAACTCGTCAACAGAAGATGGAACTGCCCATAAATTATTTTCACCGCCCATTACGAACTCCCTTGCTTCAGAAAGAACACACAGCCAAAACACGACGATCAAAAATAAGAAAATATATTTGAGTGAAGCCATTTTAAATGAAAAACTGAGAGATTTTCAAATAAAATTTGAGTAATTTTGTAGAAAATAGAATAGAATGGTTTAGGGTTTAGGGTTCAAGGTTTCGGGTTCAGGGTCCAGGGTTCAAGGTCCAGGGTCCAGCGTTGGTTTAGGGCTTAGGGTTTAGGGTTTAGGATTTCTGGGACACGGTGTGCAGGACATGTCCAGGATGCAGCCTTATTTTCAGGCATTTCTAGGCAGTTTCTGGGATACGGTGTGCAGGCCATGTCTAGGACGCGTCTTGGCTACGGCAGGGACGCAACCTGATTTTCAGGCATTTCTCGACAGTTTGTGGGCACAGTGTGCAGGCCATGTCCGGGACGCGTCCTGGCAGCGGCAGGGATGCAGCCTGATTTTCATGCATTTCTAGCCAGTTTGTGGGCACGGTGTGTAGGCAATGTTTGGGACGCTTCCCAGCCACATTAGGGACGTAAGCAGATTTTCAACCAAACGAAGGGAGCACGATGTGCAGGCTATATTTGGGGCGCAGGTACTTCCCAAGCATTCAGGGCAGTTTTTGGGACACGGTGTGTAGGACATATTTGGGACAAGTCATGGCCATGTCAAGGACGCAACATGATTTTCTAGAATTTTTCAATAGTTTCTGGGCATTGTGTGCAGGCCATGTCCAGGACGAATCCTGGCCGCAACAGGGATGTAATCTAATTTTCAAGCATTTCTAGGCAGTCTCTGGGTCACGGTGTGCAGGCTATATCTAGGACGTGTTCGACACACTGCAGGGACGGAGGCTGGTTTTTAGCATTTTAGGGCTATTTTTCGGCACGATGTGTAGGCCTTGTCCAGGACGCGTCCGGATTACGGTAGGTATGCAACCTGATTTCCAGGCATTTCTAGGTAGGTTTTAGGACATGGTGTGCAGGCCATGTCTAGGACACGTCCTGATCGCGGTAGGTATGCAACCTGATTTCCAAGCATTTCTAGGCAGTTTCTAGGGCACTGTGTGAAGGCCATGTTCGGGATGCGTCCTGATCGCGGTAGGTATGCAACCTGATTTCCAGGCATTTCTAGGTAGTTTCTGGGCACGGTGTGCAGGAAATGTCCAGGATATAGCAGGAACGCAACTTGATTTTCAAGTATTTCTAGGCGATTTCTGGGAAGCGGTGTGCAGGCCATGTTCGGGATGTGTCCTAATTGTGGCAGGGTTGCAGCCTGACTTTTAGGCATTTCTAGGTAGTTTCTGGGATACTGTGTGCAGTGAATGTCCAAGATACAGTAGGGATGTAGCCTGATTTTCATGTGATTCTAGGCAGTTTCTGGGAAGCGGTGTGCAAGCCATGTCCAGGATGTGTCTAGGCCGCGACAAGGAAGCAGCCTGATTTCCAAGCATTTCTAGGCAGTTTTTGGGACATGGTGTGCAGGCCATGCCCAAGATGCGATAGGGACGCAACCTAATTTTCAGGCATTTGTAGACAGTTTCTAGGACACGGTGTACATGCTATGTCCGGGACACGGTAGGGATATAGCCTGATTTTCAGGCATTTTTGGACAATTTCTGGGCACTGTGTCCAGTCCATGTTCGGGATGCATCTTGGCCACGATAGGGATGCAGCCTGATTTTTAGACATTTCTGTGAAGTTTTTGGGCACAGTGTGCACGCCATGTTCGGGACGCAGCCTAACTTTTACGCATTTCTAGGCAGGTCATGTCCAGGACACGTCGAGGACAAAGCCTGATTTTCAAGTATTTCTAGGCAATTTTTGGGCATAGTGTACAGGCCATGTCCAAGACGCATCCTGGCCAGGTAAGGAGGCAGTCTGATTTTCAGGCAGTTTGTCGACACGGTGTGCAGGCTATGTCTGGGCAACGGTAGGGACGCAGCCTAATTTCCAGGCATTTCTAGGTAATTTCTGGGTCATAGGGTTTTGGGTTTTTTTAATTAATTTAGAATTAAAAGCAGGAAGCATATACATGATAAAGAATAATGAAAATAAAATGTAGCTCAACGTTACAACACATGAATAATAAAACTAGTCTACACAACAAAACCAAACTTTCCACCGTCGTAGTGCCACAAATAAACCCCTCCACCGCCTTCAGACCAGTACCACCGTTATTCAAGGCTGGCACCGGTGGATTAGTGGTGATGTTGATGATGAGGAGAAGGTACCTACACTGTAGATTGGTGGCCGGAGCAATGTTTGTTGGACAGAACCATAGCCTTTAGCTTTTGACCCTTCTTCCAATGTTCACCAGCTTCAGTGATGAAGAAAAATGGACCTAATTTTTTCAATGAAATTGTAGTTTCTCCATCATGGTGTTATTTTATTGGATTGGCGTTGTTGCAGATTTTGCAGTCTTCCTCGGTCACTTCAAGCACTGAATTAGTCTTGGAATCATACTTCAGAACTAAAGAATCCCCAATTTGAAAACGAGTTTTCTCAGCCCATTTGTTGAACTCGTCAACAAAAGATGGAACTGCCCATAAATTATTTTCACTGCCTACTACGAACTCTCTTGCTTCAAAAAGAATACACAGCAAAAACTAGACTGTCGAAAATAAGAAAATATTTTTGAGTGAAGCCATTTTAAGCGAAAAATCGATAGATTTTCAAATAAAATTTGAGTAATTTTGTAGACAATAGAATAGAATGGTTTAGGGTTTAGGATTCAGGGTTTTAGGTTAAGGGTTCGAGGTCCAGGGTTCGGGATTCAGGGTCCAGGGTCCAATGTTCACAGTTCAGGGTCCAGGGCTTATGGTTTAGGGCTTAGTGTTTAGGGTTTAGGGTTTCTAGGACACGGTGTACAGGACATGTCCAAGACGCGGCCTTATTTTCAGGCATTTTGATGTGAACCCACGTAGGGCGATGACTACCAAAGCCACAACAAATTGAGAATCAAACCCAAGAAAGCCAATGACAAGGTTTTGGATTAAACCCAGCAGACTGGAACCAAGCTACCTGAATCGCCGAAAATATTTGGACCTTTTGATTACGCAATTTAAATGAATCTCACTCGGTTGATTTGAACGCCACAAGATTAATCTTGATAAGTTCACAAGTTGTTCAACGAAGAACAAGAGAAAGCAATTAATGCCTCATGAATAATATTCAATAATATGAGAGTTGTAATGTTTTACAATAAGGAATAAAGTATTTATACTATTCTAGAGAATCTAAGTAAACTAGGAAAAATATCTAAGAATAATGCAAAATTCATCCGCAATAGCCTAATTATGGTAAAAATCTACTAATAATGAAATTCTATTAAAATAAGGAAAAACGCGAAAGTTGGAAAAATTCGTCTCAGACTTGACCTATGCAGCCGCATAGCTTTAGAGCATGCAGTCGTATAGTGCAATTGGTCTTCAACTTTGGGACTTCTGTTGGGTGTATGCGATCACAGGACTTTAGACCTGTGTGGCCGCATGGTTGAATGCTCCAGCTTCATTTTCTTCAGCTTTAAACACGTTGATCCAATACTCTTCGTCCTTCGTCCCTAACACGAGACTTGCTCCATTTTACATCTCGAACATTGTTTCATCAACCTTTGCTTTGACGAGC